CCCCTCCTGTAGGACTGTATTGGATATTTTTGATTGCACACTAGTCAGTAACTAGTGTAATGTGTCTAGTCCTATTTTCGGTGCAGACTGAATTCTATCAGTCATGTTTGCAATGTGGCCACCATGCTAGGTGGCTCGACATTACGGTGCACTGTGAATTGTTGGTATTAGATGGTTGGAGGCAATCGGCAGGAAGCCTTGCCTCACCTAGGTTTCGTGCTAGTTGGCACTCATCAGCAAGGCGTATCTGCAACCTTGAAGGAACTCATATCCCTTCTGAAACTGAAACCCGCGTCACCCAGTGCTGCAGTCAGAGACGTTACCACTGAGCTATTCAGGCTCGCGACTGACCTCCTGTAGGACTGTATTGGATATTTTTGATTGCACACTAGTCAGTAACTAGTGTAATGTGTCTAGTCCTATTTTCGGTGCAGACTGAATTCTATCAGTCATGTTTGCAATGTGGCCACCATGCTAGGTGGCTCGACATTACGGTGCACTGTGAATTGTTGGTATTAGATGGTTGGAGGCAATCGGCAGGAAGCCTTGGACCTAGGTTTCGTGCTAGTTGGCACTCATCAGCAAGGCGTATCTGCAACCTTGAAGGAACTGATGTCCCTTGTGAGATTCGAACCCGCGTCACCCAGTGCTGCAGTCAGAGACGTTACCACTGAGCTATTCAGGCTCGCGACTGACCTCCTGTAGGACTGTATTGGATATTTTTGATTGCACACTAGTCAGTAACTAGTGTAATGTGTCTAGTCCTATTTTCGGTGCAGACTGAATTCTATCAGTCATGTTTGCAATGTGGCCACCATGCTAGGTGGCTCGACATTACGGTGCACTGTGAATTGTTGGTATTAGATGGTTGGAGGCAATCGGCAGGAAGCCTTGGACCTAGGTTTCGTGCTAGTTGGCACTCATCAGCAAGGCGTATCTGCAACCTTGAAGGAACTGATGTCCCTTGTGAGATTCGAACCCGCGTCACCCAGTGCTGCAGTCAGAGACGTTACCACTGAGCTATTCAGGCTCGCGACTGACCTCCTGTAGGACTGTATTGGATATTTTTGATTGCACACTAGTCAGTAACTAGTGTAATGTGTCTAGTCCTATTTTCGGTGCAGACTGAATTCTATCAGTCATGTTTGCAATGTGGCCACCATGCTAGGTGGCTCGACATTACGGTGCACTGTGAATTGTTGGTATTAGATGGTTGGAGGCAATCGGCAGGAAGCCTTGGACCTAGGTTTCGTGCTAGTTGGCACTCATCAGCAAGGCGTATCTGCAACCTTGAAGGAACTGATGTCCCTTGTGAGATTCGAACCCGCGTCACCCAGTGCTGCAGTCAGAGACGTTACCACTGAGCTATTCAGGCTCGCGACTGACCTCCTGTAGGACTGTATTGGATATTTTTGATTGCACACTAGTCAGTAACTAGTGTAATGTGTCTAGTCCTATTTTCGGTGCAGACTGAATTCTATCAGTCATGTTTGCAATGTGGCCACCATGCTAGGTGGCTCGACATTACGGTGCACTGTGAATTGTTGGTATTAGATGGTTGGAGGCAATCGGCAGGAAGCCTTGGACCTAGGTTTCGTGCTAGTTGGCACTCATCAGCAAGGCGTATCTGCAACCTTGAAGGAACTGATGTCCCTTGTGAGATTCGAACCCGCGTCACCCAGTGCTGCAGTCAGAGACGTTACCACTGAGCTATTCAGGCTCGCGACTGACCTCCTGTAGGACTGTATTGGATATTTTTGATTGCACACTAGTCAGTAACTAGTGTAATGTGTCTAGTCCTATTTTCGGTGCAGACTGAATTCTATCAGACATGTTTGCAATGTGGCCACCATGCTAGGTGGCTCGACATTACGGTGCACTGTGAATTGTTGGTATTAGATGGTTGGAGGCAATCGGCAGGAATTCAGTCTGCACCGAAAATAGGACTAGACACATTACACTAGTTACTGACTAGTGTGCAATCAAAAATATCCAATACAGTCCTACAGGAGGTCAGTCGCGAGCCTGAATAGCTCAGTGGTAACGTCTCTGACTGCAGCACTGGGTGACGCGGGTTCGAATCTCACAAGGGACATCAGTTCCTTCAAGGTTGCAGATACGCCCTGCTGATGAGTGCCAACTAGCACGAAACCTAGGTCCAAGGCTTCCTGCCGATTGCCTCCAACCATCTAATACCAACAATTCACAGTGCACCGTAATGTCGAGCCACCTAGCATGGTGGCCACATTGCAAACATGACTGATAGAATTCAGTCTGCACCGAAAATAGGACTAGACACATTACACTAGTTACTGACTAGTGTGCAATCAAAAATATCCACTACAGTCCTACAGGAGGTCAGTCGCGAGCCTGAATAGCTCAGTGGTAACGTCTCTGACTGCAGCACTGGGTCTCGCGGGTTCGAATCTCAGAAGGGACATGAATTCCTTCAAGGTTGCAGATACGCCTTGCTGATGAGTGCCAACTAGCACGAAACCTAGGTCCAAGGCTTCCTGCCGATTGCCTCCAACTATCTAATACCAACAATTCACAGTGCACCGTAATGTCGAGCCACCTAGCATGGTGGCCACATTGCAAACATGACTGATAGAATTCAGTCTGCACCGAAAATAGGACTAGACACATTACACTAGTTACTGACTAGTGTGCAATCAAAAATATCCAATACAGTCCTACAGGAGGTCAGTCGCGAGCCTGAATAGCTCAGTGGGTAACGTCTCTGACTGCAGCACTGGGTGACGCGGGTTCGAATCTCACAAGGGACATCAGTTCCTTCAAGGTTGCAGATACGCCTTGCTGATGAGTGCCAACTAGCACGAAACCTAGGTCCAAGGCTTCCTGCCGATTGCCTCCAACCATCTAATACCAACAATTCACAGTGCACCGTAATGTCGAGCCACCTAGCATGGTGGCCACATTGCAAACATGACTGATAGAATTCAGTCTGCACCGAAAATAGGACTAGACACATTACACTAGTTACTGACTAGTGTGCAATCAAAAAATATCCAATACAGTCCTACAGGAGGTCAGTCGCGAGCCTGAATAGCTCAGTGGTAACGTCTCTGACTGCAGCACTGGGTGACGCGGGTTCGAATCTCACAAGGGACATCAGTTCCTTCAAGGTTGCAGATACGCCTTGCTGATGAGTGCCAACTAGCACGAAACCTAGGTCCAAGGCTTCCTGCCGATTGCCTCCAACCATCTAATACCAACAATTCACAGTGCACCGTAATGTCGAGCCACCTAGCATGGTGGCCACATTGCAAACATGACTGATAGAATTCAGTCTGCACCGAAAATAGGACTAGACACATTACACTAGTTACTGACTAGTGTGCAATCAAAAATATCCAATACAGTCCTACAGGAGGTCAGTCGCGAGCCTGAATAGCTCAGTGGTAACGTCTCTGACTGCAGCACTGGGTGACGCGGGTTCGAATCTCACAAGGGACATCAGTTCCTTCAAGGTTGCAGATACGCCCTGCTGATGAGTGCCAACTAGCACGAAACCTAGGTCCAAGGCTTCCTGCCGATTGCCTCCAACCATCTAATACCAACAATTCACAGTGCACCGTAATGTCGAGCCACCTAGCATGGTGGCCACATTGCAAACATGACTGATAGAATTCAGTCTGCACCGAAAATAGGACTAGACACATTACACTAGTTACTGACTAGTGTGCAATCAAAAATATCCAATACAGTCCTACAGGAGGTCAGTCGCGAGCCTGAATAGCTCAGTGGTAACGTCTCTGACTGCAGCACTGGGTGACGCGGGTTCGAATCTCACAAGGGACATCAATTCCTTCAAGGTTGCAGATACGCCTTGCTGATGAGTGCCAACTAGCACGAAACCTAGGTCCAAGGCTTCCTGCCGATTGCCTCCAACCATCTAATAGAGGATTAAGTTATTTAACACATAGTTTCGTCTCAGTATTGAAACTTTGAAGTGTATATCCACGTTATCCAAGGGATAATATTTATAAGCACTCTATTTAGTCTACTTGTAAAAGGATTCTGAATGTTTTGTGCATTTTGATAGTCTTGTCTCCCTATTGTCATTTTCCTCTCAAAGTGGAAACGCTTTTAAATACTTTTTGACATATCAGATTATATGCTATTCCAGTTTACATTGCTAAGAGTTTATTGAATTATTCTGTTATGATTACGGCCTAAAACTATCTCATCTTAAAGCCCGTAGTAATTAAGCTTGGTGCTTGAAATCGACCTCTTAACTATGAGTTACTTTTAAAACATTTCACTTAAAGTATTTCAGGCATTCTTAAACATTGTTGT